TGCACCTATGACCCCAATTTAGCTGAGCATTCCCAGTATTCTGAAGATAAATCACTGCATTAGCTGCTACCTATTTGTGTGTCTCTAATTAAAACTCTACACAATACTATATTAGTTATTACTATAAATGACTGTAAACCTTTTCCTTGAGCGACCTCTACTGAGACACAGAAATGTATTAATTCTTTGATGTTTGAGTTATACTGTTTGCTTCAGAGGTTTAGACACTGGAAAATGTTCAGCCAGCCCCCATATACCCTGCCTTCAAACATCATACCTCAGTTTTTTGAGTAAGCAGTACTTAAGGTCAATAACCTTAATAATGAGGGTGTTCCTGAAAGGATTTCAAGAAAAAGATCTTAAGTTAACTACAATAATTTAATTTTCTTTATCGTCTACGTTACTACAGAGAAATGTAGTAATTCTTAGACATTTGAAAGGTCCAAAAGCATTTCAACTGAGGGGTGGGCTTAAGCCACTGAGAGATCCAACAGACATGGAAATCTTCCTACTAAAGTATCTAAAGGAATCAATGTCTAAATGAAGGATAGAAAGGGCAGAACAGATATGGAAATTGTCACAATCAATGGAAGGGCACTGAAGATCAACCTGGAGTTCCAGACCAGGAGAGGTATTCACCTCTAGGGGGAAACTGCTACCTTTAAGAATTATGGACCTCAACTGATAATGTGGAGGACAACCAATCATCTACCATAAAATACACAGGTGGAACAAACTATTTGAACAGGAGTAAGGGACCCAGCAGGGTGAACAAATAGCCTCCCACTTGCAAAAGTAGAGGTGTAGGGTTTATGCAGAGCCCACGCAGCTGAGGTCTGCTGCTTCAGTAGGAGGTAAACTGTGATTGTCTACGAGGTATTACTACAGTGGCAGATTTGCGCTTGTTTCGCCTCATTCACGGATCTCTTGCATTGAATCAGGCACACATTCCGGCCACCAGGGGTACTGGGAATGACAATGCCAAGACAGAACCTTTAAAGGGCAAATAAATCAGACATTCCTTGGGTGTATCCTCAAATCCCAGGCACAAAGCCAAAGTGTCCTCCATATATTAACAGACATTACATCCATGTGAGACAAAAGCTTGGATGAGACAATTACAGCTGAATCGTAGGGCTCTAGACATCTAATTGAAAAGCTCCAATACACAAGTGGTCGTTCTGGAGATGGAGGGGACCCCATTAATAGAACTGATCCACAGTGATATGAATTCACATTCTGAATTCTGTCAGTGAAATTCCTGAAGGTTAAAACATTATCAGCATGACTAGTAGTAAGATTGTTAAGGTGAATGATTAATGTGTGAACAGTGGGTAGAGACCACTTATCAATAAAATCCCTTTCAAAAGGAAAAGGATTCTTTAGGTTGTTTTCAGTCCTCATAGAGTAAGGTTTTAAACACTGTGTAAATAGTCATTCTACCCTCCAACTGCAGGGTAGAATGCACTGCATCAGTCAGGTAAGAAACAACAGCATTTAAATCTAGGTCATATCAAACTTGCGAAAATGCAGGTTCTTCAGGAGTAGACTGTGGAGGACTGCATCTGAAACAGAGACAGTAATAGGGGCCTGAGGGACACATAATGGCAGAAGTCCAAAAAGGGTCAGAATTAGGTTCTGCTGTAGATAGCGCTGGAGCGCACGTAGAGCCACTACAAGCAGATTGTTTCATTAACTGCAGACAGACCAGTAAAATAATTTAGGTGGATATTAGAGGTCTGAGCCTCATATTGCAGACTTTTAGAAGACACTAATGAGGATGAACCAATAGCAATTAGGGGTCTCAGAATGTAGGTTACAGACATTGGCTCCTTCAGAAGATACCAAGAAATCACTCATAAATAGAAACAATGGAGTATAGGCTCAGGTCACCTGTTGTAGTGGGATGGCCTTCTGTGAGTCTTTTAAAAGACATGTTGCACCAGTTGGCAGAAAACAACTAGGCTCAAAATGAGGCAAGGCCTTGTGTACTCACAACCACAAGTAGCTGATGCTAAAGAGGGTCATAGGTGACCAGAGGTGGCCAAGTTGCTGTAGGTTGGCAGTAAAACATGACCATAAGATCCACAAAGCATTGCAGAAGCAGCAGTGGGAACATACTTCCTCTAGGTTAAACGTGGGAAAAATAGCATGTGTGGGATTGAACACTTCACCTAACGTATGATGTCAGCGTGCAGTTCCCTCAGCCTGAACTGTTACGGTCTTAAGATGTCAGTGGTTGGAATTTTAAAATGGTGCCAAAAGGATTCCAATTTTAAGGTAGGATTCAGCATTAGTCCTCAGAGGCTGGGTCACAGCAGAGGTTGTGCCACATCTCTGGGCCTGAAAAGCGCTATGCAGCTAACACCGTACACAAAGGTCTGGAATGAGCCACAATATGGAGCCGGTGCCCAAATGTCACGTTCTAGGCTAGACTCACAAGGACGAATGGCCTACTCACTATGTGAGTCTTCAGAGACTGGGAAACACCAGAGGCTGTGCCACCGCTCTGGAACTGGAAAGCACACTGCAGAGCCCAGTGCCCGAGGGTCACATTCCAGACTAGCTCTGCAATATTCCAGTCCAACAGGGATCGAATACAGCCCCCAAAGTTATTGCTGAGGATAAGCCGATCCAGATAGCTACTATGTAGAGGGTAACTCAAGACATGATTAAAGCCATCGAGGAAAATTTCTGCAGTGTATAAAATATATTGATTGAAGAACAATTATGGGAATAAAAAGCTAGCAAAAATATTTAGACTTTATTTCAGCAGAGCTGAAGAAAAGGTTTCCAACCTCCCAGGACACTAGCAAAAAAACCCCAAGGCATGATGGTTGGAGGCAGGACTATACTTGGGCTGGCTTAAATGTCACTAAACCCTCCAGCTAAAAACTGTTTTCCAATGCAGCATGATATGCAAAGCAACACCTATTGCTTTACATCACAAAACTATAATATACTTTATCTCAGCATGAGGATTCTATCTTCACCAATCTATCCCATGCACTGCTTTCCTCAAAGTACAACTCCCCAAAATCATTGTGCTGCTGTCACCAACGTGCATGCATGTCATTAACATTTATTCTGAATGCTGGTACCTCCCACAAGAGTTTCTTTGATCTTGCTCCCACTCCATTAGGCAGTGCTGCGTGGTTGGGGTAGTGATGAATGGGCTGGATTATGCATTGCAAAAAGCTTTTACGGCTGGTGGTAGATGCATCAGCATGCAGGAATATAGTCCACAGCAGCAACATAAAGAGGAGGGTGGCTACATCCCACATACAGTGGGACCATGTAGAGCTAGCGTATCCACCCTCATAATGGAAGTCAGCTGAGCAGTTATATCATATATATTTTGACATATAAAATCAATCATTACTTTTGAAAGGTATTTAAATGACCACTTGTGAAGGTAGGAATAATACATTTTTATTTTTGGTTTGGGTTTAGTGACATTTTAACAGCTGTTTGCCAGTGCCCAAACCTTCTGAAAGCAGCAGCATAACCCAAATATCTAATAATTACTACATTCCTGTGTCCCTCAATGGATGAAAAAGAAATTCATTTTTTATGGAAACATATTCTCTCAGAGGATAAAATGCTTATGTTAGGATTTTATTGAAGAGTGTAGAACATATTGGGTATGCAGCTTATAATAGGGCAGAATGAGAACAGGTTAGAATCTTTTAGAGTCTGTACAATGCTTTTAGTATTTGTCAGCAAATCTCAATTAGCTGAGCATGCTGGACTTTTAAGAGCATTTAAACTGGCCACGAGAGACCAGAATATAGCTCTCTCTCCTGGTCATAACATCTAGCATGTTTGTCTGAAAGTTCACAATACTATTGCTTTGCTATATGCGGATAAATGGAAATCATCTTTCTGCATAATAAAGCTGTAAGGAACTTAAAGTGACATTAAAGCCAAATTTTTTTCCCCTCCCCCCCCATGTAAATGTTAGCACTTACCTCAAATGATGTCTCTTATTCTGATCTTGCTCTTCTTTCCCCATGTTTTCATGTGTCCCTCCAGCGGTGTGACGTCACTCCGATCCAGCGGTGTCTGCAGGCGGGTGCACGCGTCCATAGACTTACCTTGCGTCTCTGCTCGTCTCCCGGCCGAGAATCGGAACTGCGCATGCGCCCGCCCCAAGATCCTTTGCGGCCGTACGATCACTTCCTGATTCTCGGCGCGGGATCGAGCAGCGATAACGAGGTAAGTTTAAAACCAATTCAAGCGGCGTTTTTTTTTAAAACTTCTTGCCTATATCTACTGCTTGCTAGCAGTACATATAGGCAAAAAAAACGGAGGGTTTAGAACCCCTTTAATAGATCATGTGTTTGCTTTATCGAGGTTAATAGATCGTTATTTTTCAGGAGGGATCATCTCTCAAAGTTGGACATTGTCACCTTTGTTACTTCAAGCTGTCCTAAAACACAATAATATTGCATAATGTCATAAGTGCTAGTCCAAGGTTTATAATTTGCTAACAGGAGTGCATGTGTATAAAATGGTAACACCTAAAAATTAGCAGACTTATGATTCTGTGTAGATAGGTGGATGTATATACAGATACCAAAAGGATATAACTGTATGTCCCCAAAATAAAATTTGTCCTTGGTTTAAATATTTAAAGCTGAACTCCAGGCAGATATAAAGACAAATCAATGTCAATCAAGTGTGCTGCATGCTAATGTGTTGACAAAAATGCAGATTGCAGGAGAAAAGGGTATGAGTTGATAGATGACCTCATCAGTCTGCTGCAGTTCTTTCACTGTCTATTCTGCAGGTTGAGACACAACTCAGGCCTTGGACAAAAATAGAAATTTATTTGGCAAGTAATACAGCAAACGTATGTGCATTTCATCTGTGTATTTAGCAGTTTGCCTACAGTTGCCTTGAGTTAAGCTGTATGTTTTCCCAAATCCACCGTACAATACTCTGGTTTGTGAAAATGTCAAGTTAACACCAATTCTTTAAAAAAAATTTGCTTTAATAGAGACATGAAACTACAGGCCCACAACATAAAAACATACATTTCACGTCATAGCTGTTAAAATACAGCTTCTGCTTAGTAGTACAGTCCATTATTAGCGTCCAACTGCCAAAAGCGATTACAAAAAAGTTATTTAATATACAAAAAAGATCATCTGTGAGATTTTTTTGTGTGCTTAGCAGACTTTTTGTCTGATTTGCTTGATCTTCGGTCCTCAGGAATATCTTTGTGGTGTATTTTCTCTTTATGCCTCTCTTTGCGAGGTTCATTCCTTGAACCTGCTTTGTGAGGCCGTTCTGTACTTTTGTCCCTTCTTGAGATTTTTTCTTTCTCCTTTATCGATGCCCTTTTCTTTTTCCTTGAAGTGTCTAAATGGAAAAATACATGACATTATTAATTACATAATAAGGATAGATGATAAGATAGGTCAAGAACCAATGGGATTGATTGCTAAATAAATAAAATAAAAAAAAAACCAAGCATAAGAACCTTAAAAAAAAATCCCCTTTAATTCTGTAAAGCATTGCTGCAAATGAGCAGATCCAGTGAATCTGCTTCACATTTCAAGATACAGCAAGTTCTCCCATTTAAAGTCTTAACTTGAGAACAAGCAGTAATTTGACTGTTAGCTTTAGGCATAAACACAAATTATAAAGACAACAACTGCATGATTTGGCTGTTTTAATCACGTACCAACATTATTGACCATAGACCATCCATTTAAGCAATAACATACTTAAAGTACAAGCCCTAATGGTTAGTTCGGTGTCTAATGGAGCACAAAATAAAGGACCTGTTTTTGTCATTAGAGCTTGTAACGTTTTAACAATATAAATTCTGTCCAATTACTATTTGCAGCCCTTAACTGCTTGAAGACCAGGTGTTTAGACCCCCTTCCTGGCCAGGCCATTTTTCAGTATTCAGCGCTGTGGTACTTTGACTGACGTTTATTCCGTCATGCAACGCTGTACTGAAATGAATTTTATACCATTTTTTGGGGACAGATAGAGCTTTCTTATGGTGGTATTTAATCACCACTACGGGTTTTATTTTTTACTATAAATTAGGAAATATTACTGAAAATTTTGAAAAAGAAAAGTTTTTTTACATTATGTTAGGAAACATTATTACCCAGTTTTTTGGTAAAATATAGAAGACCGGATCACGTTGGGTAAATAGACACCAAACATGTCAAGCTTTAAAATTGCACGCACCCGCGAAATCGCAGAAAACTGCCATACCCAAAATTGACCATAGGCGACGCTTTAAAAGCTTTTACCGCTCATCAGTTTAGTGTTATCAGTGAATGATGGCCCTAGAATTATTGCTCCCACTGTGACGTTCGCGGCGATATGTAACATGTGCGACGTAACAAGCGCAAGTCTTTTTTGCACGCATGCACCTCCGACGCATGTTTGCATGCGTGTATGTATGGGTGGGGACTTTAAATTTTTCTTTTTTATTCTTTGGGGGGGGGGGGGGGGGGGGGGATGAAGCAAAAAAACAAAACAAAAAAAACCTATAAAGACTTCATACCCCACCATGCACTCTGTTGGATTTGGTGTGGGGACACACTGGGGGCTTCGTCTGCCATTGTGATGTGCAGGGCTCCTGGTGTGTCCCTGTGCCTTTAAGGAGGTTGGGCTGCCTCCTGGCAAACCTGCACCCTATTCATCCTTAGCTGTGTATGCTCCAAGGTGGTGGCTCTCATAAAGTAGAGTTAGGACCACACTACACAGAGGGGCTTGACAAGGCAGTGCGGCTTCCACATATTTTGCAAAAGTTGTGCAACTTAAACCTCTGTTTTTAACCCTTGTAGTTAGAACAGTGTATTTTTGTGTGCAAGCTGGCTGGGCAGTGTGCTGGGAAATTTCTGTTTTTGTACTGTGTTTCCCTTTCATGTGCACCTTGCTTAAAGCTAGTTATGAATTCATGAGTGCGTTTCCCATTTGTTTCACTTCTTCCTAAAAATGGACGCAAAGATCACATAAAGAGCACTATGCGGCGGCCATTTTAGACAGCATACTGAAATGAACTGCATAACTCAGATTACTAATCAGGAAAAGATCCGTGTTCCTTTGGATCGGTGATGATTTTTAAATACCCGTTGTAAGAAGGCGCCGGAGTACTTCACTGTATTTTACTTAATGGCTTTTGGCCGACCTCTTCATAACCTTCATTTTCGAACAATCCGCCAGTATGCGTTTAGTCTATGTAAATAGCTCTGATGGCCAAAAATGAATGTAGGGGCACGAACGGCACAAACAGTCCATCAGACAGTAATGCAAATCCCTGGGCCACAGAGCTCCTTTATTCACTAGCAGTAACCCTTTGAGGGATATAAATCAATTTGTTTCATTATTCTAGTTTCATCTGAGCTGAACCGATGTCATATTATTTTCTAAAAACGACCACCATGGGGCAATCTTATATAGTTTTGTCATTACAGAGTAAATCTTTCTTGAGATTTAAAACAATATATGGATTTCTGGACCAACAAAGAACATTACTCACATAAAAGTGGTAAGTAGAAATACTGAATTTACATCTGTATGTCAAACCAGACAACCTTCAAAAGCAACAACCATTCTCTCTGTATCCCCAATCATGGCAGCGTTTTTCTTACAGGAGTGCATATAAAGGAGGTGTCATAGCAAGCAATTATCTGGCTAGAGCTCACGGTCCCTTCTAGACAACATCCACAATGCAGACATTAGGAAACTCCCCCCACTACCACTGCAGTAAATTATAATTACCAAGCCTTGTGCCTACTACTGCACTGTTATGAATCAAATTAATCTCAGATCAGCAAGATCCCCTAAATACAGACGTTCATGCTGTTTTATCATCTGCTCTCTAAGCAGTCTGTATAAAGCCATGGTGATCTATGAATTAGACTGAGAAAGAACTTTTTAAAATTGCCAATGCTGTTAACAGTAATATCTGTTTGCAGTACAAAAAGTCACATTTTTAGCAAGCACAGATGGAAAAGTGTCTACAGAGGCATTTTTTGTCATTGTCTCTCTTTGCCCAAGCTACATGAGCCAACATATACATAATTGCATATTTTTTTGATCTGAAGAACACAAAGGGGGGAATTTATCAAAACTAGAGCAGACAAAATGTGGAGCAGATTTGCACTGCAGCCAATCAGCATCTCTCTCTTTCATTTTCAAATCTTACCTGAGCAAACTGAAGATAAAGGCTGATTGGTTGCCACGGGCAACTGCTCCAGATTCTGTTTGCCCCAGTTTTGATAAATTCCCCCCTCAGAATCTATTTTCAGTTTGAAATCACAGGCAATGAACTCCAGTAATCAATATTTTAAGTCCGATAGGAAACAGTTAGCTAGAAGAACATACTGTTTCGGTGATGAGAACTTCATATCAGAGTTTGTGGCTCTCTCTTCTTCACTCACCATTAAAAACACATTAAACAATGGGGTCACGCCTCACCTACTACATCCTTCATCACATAAAATAAATAATTATTACACATGCAAAACTAGATCCCTCAATCTTCTCAGCCTCCATATTGGCTGAAAAAAAGTGAATGGGAGTAGAGACCTCACTACTGAAGAGGCACTGCAGATGTATAAGTACTACGGGCCAGTGGTAATGCAGAAACTTTCTGTGCTGGTGGTCCACAAGGGTCTATTTGAATTCCCTTATAATGTGGAAAATGCCTTTACAATATGTTCATTACTTATTAAGAAGGCTACCCTTGTTTTGAATGAGGTCGTTATTCTAGGGATGGCATCCTTATACCATCATATACAGTATGTGCGGAGTTATTTTGAATAATATACTTGGGCACAGGTAGAATGCGTGCTTGCGTGGGTTTCCTCCCACACTCCAAAGACATGCTGGAAGGTTAATTGGCTCTTGTCTAAAGTGGCCCTTTATGTAAGCATGTGAGATAGGGACATTAGATAGTAAGTTCCTTGACAGCAGGGAATGATGTGAAGAGCTGAATAAATGGCTGGCTCTATATAAATACCTGTAATAAATAAAACATAGCTGAACAAGGGAATAAAAACAAAAGAAATAAAAGATAGGCAATGTTTTTAACAGCCCTAGTTTTATATCAGATCAGAGCTCACCTGGGAAATTAGAACCAAAACTTTAAATTCTGTACAAATATAGAAAGGCAAAACCTAAAGCTTTTATTATGTTGTAATAGCTTTAGGACATAACAAAGATGTTTGAGGAGCACATGAAAAGGTTAAAAAAGTACAGAGATGCAGCACTGAAAGTTTACATTAAATACCCTCAAGACGAAAGGTGCTTTTTCTTGGACTGAATCAAGTAAACCAAGTTGCTGTGCGAGTAACACGGCCAACCTATTATATGGCTCCAACAGTCACCATCTGCCATTCATCTTTGGCATCTGGCTGTTCCCACCCCAGTAAAAACTTAATTTAAAATTAAAAAGCTTTAATTTAGCCAAGTCCAAGCCCGCAGTCCAAAAACCTTTGTATTTGACAATTCATCCACTGAAGCACTGTTGCAATGCTTATGAGAAGGATGCTGTGAGAAGTGGATGCACGTGACAAACCACTGGGAAGTCCTGCAGAACCTGGCTATACTGGATTAAAACAAGTGGACAGTCATTTTAAGGCAGGACTGATGAACCGGTGAGTATATCTTCTTTAGTTTATCCCCATAGACCAAAACGAGCTGTTAAGCCTTGCAGTGCAGGGGTAGTCCCACTGCAAGAGTTAAAGGAGAACTATGGGGTAAGTGTTTTTCCCCATAGTTCTCCTTAGGGTAACGGGAGGACACAAACTAGCGTCCTACCGTGCCCCAAAGCTCAGTAATCCCCGAGCTACAGCTCGCGGTATACTGAGACGCTGCAGCCGGGGCGGATCCCTACATTACGGTCGAGATCCACCCAGCTGCGTGATTGACAGCTGGCTCAGTCTATCTAGAGGCAGAGCCAGCTGTACCCGCCTCCTCCCCCATTCGTTCCTCCAGTCAGATTGTCACATGACAATGATAACCAGGCCACAGGGATGATTCATTTTCCCTCTAGGGACACAGACATCATTAAAGTGACACTAAACTCAGGAGTTAAATCTTAAAAAAGCATTCACGTACCTAACTATTAACAAAAATCATCTCTCCAATCAACTATCCTGAAATCATCTCTGAATTGGGAACTGTCCTTGCTCCTGGAGGGTGGCTACTTTTGTTCCCCATGGTACTTGTATGTGTTGTAAAGTAGCCACCGCTACAAGCTCAACCCCATGATGGACTACAGTCTCACGTTTAGTTTACCAATTGGTATTGAGATTGCATTCTATCATAGGGGTTGGAGTGGTGCATTTGTAAGATTTACCTCCTGAGTTTAGTGTCACTTTAAATACCTGAGAGAGATTCCAACTTTCAGATTCTTTACAAAACTAAAAAAAAAGAGAGAGAGCCCCCTGGTCAATCATGGGAAACATCTTTACCAAAGCCAGATCATAACATGTCAAACATTACAGCATGAACGTTAATGCCAAAGTATCCTGATTAGCCAGGCATCAGCAGCCAAGTTAAGACAATGGACCCGTTTAAATGTGTCATGTGATCTGTGATACAAGCACTCCCTAGCAGAGACTAGGTCACTAAAGGGGATATTTATAAAGCCGTGATTCTAACAGTTCCCAAACAATCACTGCAGGTGAATCCTCCAGGTGCATGTGTTTTAAATAACCATAATTCATTCTATGAGAGTGAATGTTTGGTGGAAGTCACATTCACTACTTTATAAATATGGGCTTACGTATCTATAAAAGGTAAGAAGGGGAAAAGTATATGCTATGTATATGCTATGTCTTTTGTCATATGTATACACCACAGTGTGGATGGGCAACCTGAGTGAAGAAAGAAATATAGACTTAAAATATAGACTGGATACTTATTTTGCGAATAACAGGCTGATCCATAAAATCTCCAGGAAGCAGCAAGGTCTAGACTATTCCTTTAATTTTCTAAAGATAAATAACTTAAATTTGTCAGAACTAAGTAAGCATTAGCGAGCCTCGTATACAAATGTCTAAAGAATAATTCTCTCTGTTTTCAATAACAAAACATTCAGGATTCTCGATTTCATGTCTATGACTATGGACAACCGTATTATATCATATATAAAAATACCTGCGTCACTACTGGAGCTGGAGGAATCACTGTCACTGGATGAGCTGGAGTCACTGCTTGATTCAGATGACGACTCTGAAGATGAAGAGGACTCTGAGGATAAGGAATCAGATGATTCGACATCCTGTTTTTTGGTCATGATCATTTTTGGTGCATTTTTCAGATGTTCACGGAGTTCATCCCTGTTTTAAAAAAGCAATAGCCCACTTAGTATGAAATATAAACAGGTAAGACTTGTATCTAAAAGGACTTATTGAAAAGGACCTTACGTCAATCCTCCGAGACCAATAGAAGTAAAAAAGTTGATAGCAAATCGAGTGTTTTTTGGGCAGTCCATGGGCAGCAATCCCTGGAAGAATGGTTGAAGAGTTCTGAAAAGACGAGGTAGAGGAAGTGTGAGCGATTATCGAGTCATATCAGTTGTGTAGTTCCAAGAGAACACTTTATGTTGACCAAAACCCACCATTCAAGCTAATGTAAACAAAAGCAATAGTTATGGAAACAAATGATATGCAGTAATGGAGGGTGGATGGGAGTGTAGGTATTGCACTGACTTTATTGCCCAGTAATGAATGGTATGCAGTATATTAAAAGGAGAACTATGAGGTGAGTGAAAATTACTCATCCTCATAGTTGGAGCCAATGTGTGACAATGAAACTGTCACATGTCGGCTCAATAGATCGGGAATTGAGTGAACGCATACCGTCGCTCGCTCACTTCTCGATCATCTTCCTGCAGAGAGCAGTGACTATCAGTCATGGCTCCCTGCTGGAATTCTCCCCCTCCCCTCTCCGATCCTCCAGCGCAGAGTGGAGGAACGGACGGGGAGGGGGCGGGCACAGCTGGCCTCTAGATAGGCAGAGCCAGCTGTCACTCACGCAGCTGGGCGGATCTTGACAGCATTGTCGGGATCCGTCCCGGCTGCGGCTGTCTCAGTATACCGCGAGCTGTAGTTTGCGATATACTGATCTTTGGGTCATGGGAGAAGGTTAGTATATGTCCTCCCGTGACCCTTAAGAGAACAATGGGGAAAAACACTTACCCCATAGTTCTCTTTTACATATGCATTATTAAGCCCCAACTACTGAACCAATGAAGTCAGCATGACATAGCTTAAAAATGTTTTTAAGGTTACAACAGTTCTTCAGTAGTTACCTTGTAGTGCCTGCAAGCACATGCATCTCTAAGTTTTAACGCTCCCCGCTGAGAAGATTAATTCAGAAGTGTTGACTATCACTACTTCAACCGAAAGTAATGAGAAATCCAATTATTTAAAGTTATCACTGAAAGTTATCACTACTTAAAATTGTGCTGTTTGTGTGTGCTTGGAGTTCAGCTTTATGTTACAAAACCATGGTCATGGTCCTTTATTTCAAGATCGATAGTTGTTGAGACCAGGAACATCTCTAGAGCACAATGGACCAAATGGTGGAAAATAATGAGGAACCCTGCAGAAGGTTAATAGCTACTGTATGTTACAGTAATAATATGGCATGCATTTTTCAAGCATCTCAATTCGTGTCCATTTAACCCTTTAGCTGCTAAGCCCTCTGGAACACTTGTAAACTTAGCTGGCCACACCATTTTTGCAATGTTCCCCATTGTTTTGATTTTCTATTGCTGCGCTGCTGGCATTTGTAAAAGACCCCCTCAAATCATATATTTTCTGAAAGCACAGGCCCGGTAGAATAAAAAGATGGTGCTACTAATTTTGTTGGTCTTGTAATAATTGGGCAAATGTTTGTCAAATCAATATGAAACTGATAAAAATACACAATTAATGAAAGCACACTAAAATCAGTATCAGCGCACAAAAGCGCTAAAGCGACCATGAGCTTATAGCAGAACGGTAAAAGCCACCAATGTATGGCATACTGATGTGGCCAGATGGAAACAGTTGAGTTCTGCCGTATGCCATACGTCGGTGGCAGGGAAAGGGTTTAAGGTACTTTCCATCAAGACAACAAAAAACCAGAATACTCACACATCCTTAAGTCTGGCATTCAGTTTGGGGAGTCCCATATATTCACACAGCTCCTGGAAGAATATTTTCACAAATATACGACTAGAAGATGTTGTTGTTTCTTCGCTAAGATTTATGCATTCAAGAACCTAAAACATAAAAACATTTTTTATATTCATCAGATAAAAAACAAAAAAACAAACAAAAAAAAACAAAAAAAAAACGCAGGAAGATACAAACTTTCACACAAGCAATGCATGATCTTAGAGGTTTTGGGAGTTTTTAATTGCATTTCAGAGCTGAAATGCAATTAAAAACACCCAAAACCGAGCTGATCAGTGTGGTTCCATTAAAAGCTGAATGGAAACCACACTGATCAGCGCGGCAAAAATACTGCAGGGAGCAGTACGGGCGGGGTGCATTTCGGACCGCATGGAGCCCCGCTGTCGCATGAACGGTCCCCATATGAATGTATATAGTGAGTCAGCCTATGCTGACTCACTATATACAGTATAGAGAATGTAAACACTATACAGGTTGCATATGGGCCGAACAAATCAAGGAATATTTTCTACAGTTCTCTATTTACATTTGTACAACACAACTAAAGAAATGTTTGAGTTTTAATATACTTAAAACCTTAAATTAACAGTTTGAGTAATGAATGTGTAGCACTGTTTTCAAGTACATATACAGGCAATATTTCCCAATTATTGAATGATGTTTTACTAGTCTTATCTCAGTGCAAGCCTATGAACCAAGCTGTCCATGGACTTGCACCCGTAAGGATACAGGGAGGCTAACTTACTTCACTTGAATTATTTAATCATCTGCAAATGAATTAGAGATTTTGTTTTCACATGACTGAATAATTACAGTAAATCCTCACACAATTTATTTCTTGAACAATTTAGTAAATCAGTCTCAGTCTTTAGGTGGTTTAGGGCCTGTGTAAACTAACTTAAATTCACTGGAAATGGGTTTTGCATTCTCATACAAGTCTGTGAAAGTGCAAAACTCGCTTAAAGCAGGAGAGAAGGAGGTTATATGCAGATCACATATGCCTGTCAATGAAATTGGAGATCTCAGAGATAGTGGTCATGTGTATGTATTCTTTTTCTGCTCTTTTCAGTGTCGGAATTCAAAACATCTAATGACATTTACTAAAAAAGAAACAAACCTGGACAACAATATACAAATGAATATTTTCAATTGACAAAGAAGTATATTTCATGCAACTAGCAAAGGTCTATTGGTATCTTACTATTTAACACCAGCTTGGCCATAAAAAAAAAAAAAAAAAGAATGTACTTACACTCCATGGAATAGAGTCAGTATATAGGAGGTGGGCAAACATCTTGGCAACATTTCTTAATTTGTTTGTTTCCAGCCGGTGGATGGTGTCATACTGTTCTTTGAAAATGAATTCAAAAGCCTCCATGTATTCCTTCCTCAATAAACAGAAACGCTACAGGAGAAATTCATGCAGGCAAAATTACATGGTGAACACATACCAATGAAAGGCTTTAGAAAAGGTGATACACAAAAGAAGAGATTTACGAAGGCCTGCCCATGCAAAAAAAATAAAATAATTTGCTTAATCTTAGTGTAACTTTTTTTGCAAAAATTACACATAAATTTTAAGCATCAATATCATGACAGACATATTGTATGACTCTCCTCCATGCTTCATCAGTACCATTTAGATTTTGTCATTGTGGTATATAGAGAGTAGGAGGTGTAGCAGGCCTAGAGGGAGACAAACTTCAGCCCTTTTTTGAAATGGATCCCAACACCCTGAATTAGTGTCATTCATTTCCATGGTGCTGGCGGCAAGCCCGCCTGCATGATGGAAAAGCATGACGCTGTGTGAAAATTTCAAGGCACCCCTGAGGAAGTCAGAAGGCACCCTGGTTGATTTAACCACCGCAATGTGCTAGGGTTGGAAGAAGAAACAGAGGCAAAGCTCTAGAGCAAATACAAACACCAGGCAGATCGGGGGAACCCAGAACCTAAACACTGCAAAGCAAAACTGCTAAGCAATAACATTAATAACATTCATTTGAACCCATGTTTAGATGTTAGAGTCTATGGCAGCGGTAGGCAACCTTGGCACTCCAACTGTGCTAAACCTAAAAATGCATCTGGGAGACATGTCTGCGGCTGTCAGAGTCTTCCAATGCCTCATGGGACTTATGGTTCCACAACAGTTGGGAGTGCCAAGGTTGACTACCTCTGGTCTAAGGGATTGTGTGTTAGGAAAAAGACTGAACAATTAGCTTACCCCTGCAAGCAAGCCGAAGAACTTCTCATAGGTTCTCTGCTGAGCACAGCAATCCAGTATCATATTGCAAAGTTCTTTCTGTTTAAAAATAAAATTTAAATATTCAGTAAGCAGATTTTCTTTCCACAGCTGCAACACAATAGACTGTAAGTTAAATGTGCAGAGAGGCATTTCCCATTTGTTTTACTTCTTAAGTAACCGTAATGAATACAATAAAATATGATTGCGCTAGGGCTTTGGGCAAAATAGCAATATATATTGATGACAATGCATTATCAAGCTCTTTAATATTATACATGACATTGTATCTGGAGCACATTCAGCACTAATAAATGTGTTAAATACAGCAAATGTTCTTAAAGGGACAAGGAACCTAGAATGCAGAGTGACACAAAAAAAGCATGCTTCAAATTACATAAACAGTCTGAAAATCTTTGAGAAGCTTTCTGGCACCGGAAAGATTTGTGATTAGCATGTGGAATAGAGATTTTACTATGCACTTCTGACTTCGAGTACCACTTGGCAGTCACGGCCAAATTCTAGTTACACTTTAACCAATCTAAAATGGCTGGGAATTCCATGTCTAATAATCTGCTCAGGTGAAGGACCGTCTACATCATTGTGAATATTTGCAAACTGTTCAAGTGAAGCAGCTTCTGTTTAACAGGAACAAACTTTACTGGCCACTGTTTAGATTGCCAAATACAACCTAACAATTCGGACTTGTTTCAAATCTGACAGGCTGTTAAAAGAAAACCAGAAAGGTCTGGGGTCAATTTTTTCTTAAATTTTATTTACATTTTTAAAATTTTACTATATGTGTAAAATCCTTATTTTACAAGTAAACATGTAAAGGTGAAATCAGAGTTAAACAAATACAGTAAACTCCCCATTACCCGTCATTGATGCCACCGGCAAAATAAATCCTCGATTTTTTTCTTTGCAGGTGGCTTGATGCACACTAACAAATTGCCGGTTTCTTAGTTCACAGTATAAAGCGTAATTAGCAACTAAATAAAATAATTTTTTTTACATCTCGTTACATGCCGATGGCTAGATTCAGTGGTCGGCAGCAGAATGTAAAGCAGGGGAGCAAAAGCCAGCTTGCTATTGTCTATTTCAGATTGCAATAGCAGGTTGGCTGTTGTACCCGCCCATTGAGAGAGAACTTTCTCAGGTCTGCTCCTCTGCTCAATGGTTGGGGTTTCAGTAGCCAGTCTGCTATTGGCTATTTCAAATTGCAATAGCCAATAGCAGGCTGGCTATTGCACCCGCCCACTGAGCAGAGGAGTGGATCGGAGAGAGAGGTGCGCTTCTGTGCTAGTCGGGCGTTGTTTCAATAGCAAGCCTGCTTTTGCAATTTGAAATAGCCAATAGCAGTCTGGCTATTGCTCCCAGCTGCTTACATTCACCTGCTGGCTGCGGAAGCTAGCCGGCAGTTGAACGGGGCCACAGGGGAGGGTTGCTTGAGTTACTATTAACTCTCAAGCAAACAAACTACAGTTATCCGGCACCTACCGATGCCTGTGGGTGCCAGATAACTGAGAGTTTACTGTATTGTCTAAAGACAAGATGCATGTGTATTTAATGTTGTTGTTCTTTCTTCCAGATCTAATCAGCAACCCAGCATGAAACAACCCTTGTACTTTGCCATGAGGAAGGAGTCTCCTGTAATTAAGAAACTGGTCTTTTATTCGCCCCCTGTAATTTTCTGTACGTTTTATTTGCCTGTCATGATTTGCCAACCATTGGAAGAAAGGGAGCCCTGTGTGGCTATAGATAGAGCAGTAAAATGAAACAAATTTCACAATTTAAAATCTTGTTTGTTATAAAAGGGCCCTTTTAGCACTATCAGAATGGGAGATTTCCAAGCCAACACTCTGGAGGAGATATCTGCTTGTCTATGACCAGCTTTAGTCTTGTGTGTAAATGTTAATTCTAAAAGCAGTAAATAGGCAGCCAATGCTGAATCAATGATGAGCTCCTTCTTCAGCTGGTAGTTGACTGGCTGTCATGCTGACCCTCTAAGCTCACTGAAGTATGCAGAAAGGGAAGAGGGTCTATATTCGGGCTTGTTCACACCGAATGCTTGCTCTATTTTTTGCGTTGCAGTGGAATGGAACGCAGGCAAAGTTTTGCCACGCGTCCAATCGCACTGCGCGGGTAAGGGCGTGGAAGCGGCGCCATTAAATTCAATGCACTGCCACTCCCCCTATCGCCCCACAACGCAGGGGAAAGTTTCACGAGGGATCGCGGTGCGTTCCAGCAGCTACCACTCTGGAATGCGCCGCATTCGGTGTGAACAAGCACACAGTGATATTCCATATCACTGTCTCAATGTACTGAAGCCATCCTTTAAACAGATGAGGTAGAAGCTGTTGCTTTTGAGATGTGTTTATAACAAACATACGATAACATTTAGGCATACACGGTGACAGTGAATAGATACAGATCGGGAATTTATATTAGCATGGCCTAAGTTTGCAGGTCCTAATCATTAGCTTCCTAAAGAGAAAGCAAACACACAAGATGTTAACCACAAAAAAAGGATCAGCAGACACATTACATGTGTGCTCCTAAATGCAGAGTGAAACATTGCGAGAAATTAATAACAATCTGTGCATCTAAATAATCACATTATATTGTGCCAGATGGCTCACTGATTTCAGCATCTGTACACTACCACACTGTGCCCTCATTTCCAGCAGACGGGCTCCGATTTTGGTATTGATAAACTTTCATACATTCTGGTGCAGTAAATGTTACAATGGTCAATACTTCACTGTCCAAAATGTATTGGCAGCTTGTTTTCAGGAATACCGAAAATATAAATCACTACATTTTAGGCCTTGTTCACACCAAATGCAGACCAGATCCGGTCAGGTTTCTGCTGCGTTTTTGACTTGTTTAGGGCCGGTTTTGGTAAAAAAAAAATTTTTTTAAAGTTTAACATGGGCTTTCAGGCACTTGCATGCGCTTTAGATGCGTTTTTGCGTTTTAGATGCGTTCCAGAGCAGATCCAGAGCAGATAAAATAGGGCTTGCCGCAGTTTTTTCACCTGCTCTGGATCTGGTCTGGCTGGTGAATTGAAAGGAATAGATAAAAGACATCTCTTGACCAGTTAGGAAACTGCAAGATACAGAATAAATCCAGCGGTGAAGCCTTAGGACTATACAGAACTTTTCTTACCATCTGATATACTGTAAGCTTAACATACATGTAAAGCCAATCACTAAACTATCACAAACTATAACATGTTAAAGTGATTTCAAAAATATTTTTTAATGTTTTTAAATTTGCAGATCTCAATGAAATACTGGATGATCCTGCCATTGAAGTTCTTGTTCAGACACTTCCTGTAATAGTAACAACATGTCCTCCCTGTCTCCTGTGTTGTCACCCTGCTACTTGGGCTTGTGGTGGAGGCAAGTGGTCACTGACATTCGTCAATGTTGGTGCCATCAGGAAACCTATCCTGAGAAGTACCTTTTAGCCATCTCTCCGATGCAGAATCACAGCCTGTCAAAGCTTTGGTGTTTGCTAATGACCAAGCTTATACAGGGGAATAAAGTCATTGGTCTGCACACTTGACAGCGTTTGGACCTGGTCTGAACTGATAACTAACTTATGAGGTAAATAGGAAACTGGGATGGGTGCAACCCTGACCTTTCATTTTGTAACCCAACAGAGGCGGCACAAGAATGCAGTAGTCGTGACTTACACACTGGTCTGAACAATCAACCTAAAAATGTTTTCAGTCCACTGTTTATATAGCCACATACAGTATGTACAATATACTATTCAACAATATGAACATAAAGCAGAAACTGATGACAACTGTACATGTATTTTTATAAAATAAGGCCTGGTTCTCACCAAGCGTTTGGTTCTGGCCTAAAAAACGCTAAAAAAAAAAATATGCCCCACCTGTACAGGACGCCAGGAATGGGTCCTGGATGGACGGTATATCCCTCCCTTGTTTAGGTGGTGGTCCCGTTAAGGTCACCTTGTATTCAGGGTTCTCGCCAAGCAGGGTGAGGGGTTCCAGGACTTGTAAGGGAAACTGCTAGGCAGTCTTCCCAGAGTTGTTAATTATACATGGCTCCCGGAATCCAGAGGCTCAGAGAGATTTTGGGTGGGACAGAGCCTCCATCCCTGACTACAGCCAGTTCTGGTAAAGGGTTAACCCACCAGCCAGAGGGTGTGTTAAACAAGGCATAGGAAGCCAGTCAGTCTGTGTCTCTGAGGAGTGTTTGGAGCAGGACACATGGCTGTGTGTGTCATAAGCTGTGGAATACCGTCTACCGAGACACTGCTGGGGCTCCTATGTCCATACTGGAACCCTCTGTGAGCAGGCTGGGACTCTAACCCTGAGGTAGGACTTAGTATACAGGTACTGAGCTGGATCTTGTGTTTGCCGACAATAAGCCCTGTTGATTTTGTCATTCTGCTGAATATAAGCCATTTTTACTTGAGGAAAAAAATAATGTTTTATTCGCTGATACGGCTGGCTATTACACCCTCCCAAAAAATCCCATTAATTTTCGATGGCCTTGTTCACATCTGAGCGTTTTTCCCCAAAATAGTTTATTTAGGCTTAAACAAGGTCACCATGTGACCATAGGAATACAATACAGTACATACATTTATGTTTTGTTTAGTGTCTTGCAGTATAGTGGCCAAGTCACGGGTGGCCCACATTTATCAAGCAATATAACACGCAAATAAACATGACATTATGCAGTCCAATTTGGTCTTGTTTAAAGAGATATATACATATAGATATATATTTTAATGTGAGGATTTGAAAGAGATGACCCAATAGCGAGAGTTACATCACTCTGTTCGATGTTAAGGGAGTCCCTATATACTGATCTAGTTGTCCCCGAATTATTAGGGGAACGTGGAGGGAGTCCGCCAGTCTTTCGTAAATAGATTTCTTTCCACGTCCCCCTAGCAACTGCGGTCGAGTCCTATTATCCTCCCAGTAATGGACATCAAATCTCACTGGTTCTGCATGTTAAGTCAGATTCAAACGAGATAATCGAAAGGATAAAGAAATTGCTCTTTACATCTGA